TAGATTTAATAACCCAATATTACCGAAACGACGAAAATTCAAGGCAATTGCCTGGGATGAAGGATTACGTGACTATCAAAAAAGATGATGGAGCGAAAGAGAAAGTTCAAAAGAGACTTGTTTATTGTAATTTAAAAGAACTTTACCAATCTTTTAAATTAGAATTCCCGAATTGCCAAGTAGGTTTCTCTAAATTTGCCGAACTTCGTCCCAACGAATGTGTTCTGGCAGGAGCTAGCGGAACACATACAGTTTGTGTGTGTATCTTTCATCAAAATGTTAAACTTATGATCGAAGGTCAGAAAATAGAATTTGATTTCAGAAACCTTAATTAGTTTGATTTACACTTCTTAAGAATAAAAATTATCGTAATAATTATAATTATTCTAATATTTCTAATTATTATAATAATAATATATTATTATTATTATTATATTAATTAGAATTAATAAAATAAATATAATTATTAATAATAATTATAATCAATTATCTGTTTATAGGCTCGGATTTACAAAATTTAACCAAAACTTGGGAAATTCCAATAAAAGGAAAAAGTTCGTACAAGGAGCTCTTTAAATATCTGCTATGTCTAAATCCGATTATCAAATGTTACGAAGGTCAGTGTGCTTTATGTCCCAGCAATGATATTCTAAAAGAAAAACTAATCGACGCATTTAATAATGACTTAGTCGAGGAAGTGAATTACAAACAATGGATATCAACAGATAGGTAAATATTAAGTTATAGTGTAAATTTATGTTGGTTTTGATTTATTACTGTTTTTGAATTAGGTGCTCTCTGAAAACTTTGAACGAAACTATTGATGAATTTGTTCCATCTTTAATAGAAAAATTGACCAAACTACTTTTTCACGATTTTATCGCCACTAAACAGTCTCTGCATTTTAAAAATGTAAAGAAGAATTTAGAAGTTGGCGATTTCGTGGTAACTCTCGATTTTTCAGAAAATTTTGCATTTGTTGTTCAGGAAGCAGTCCAAGGATTTCACTGGAACAACAATCAGGCAACGGTTCATCCGATTGTCATATATTACAAAAATCGTGAAACAAATGAAATTGAACATGTTTCTTATGTTGGCATATCGGATTGCCTTAACCACGACACTATTGCGGTATATACGTCTCAGAAAAAATTAATCGATTTTCTGAAAAGAAATTTTTTAATCGTCAACAGAATTATATATTTTTCGGATGGAGCACCTCAACAATATAAAAATAAAAAGAATTTTGTTAATTTAACCCATCACTTGACAGATTTTGGAGTTGAAGCTGAATGGAATTTTTTCGCAACAGCTCATGGAAAAGGAGCCTGCGATGGCGTTGGAGGCACATTAAAACGAATAGCTCGAAGATACTGTTTACAAAGTGGAACCAGAAATGAAATTTTGACCGCGCAAAAACTTTATGAATGGGCAAAAGAAAATTTTAAAAATATAAACGTTTTTTTTTATTCAACGGCCGATTATGAACTTGCAGCTGAGTTTCTCACGTTAAGGCATAAAAAGTGCAAGACGATCAAAGGAACTCAGTCCATTCACTTTGCATCGCCAATTAATAAGAACACCCTTAAAATTAAATTGTTTTCGGAAAGTTTAACTTCTGATATTGTTTACACAGAGTAAAAAAATATTTGCTAATTTTAACCAAATATTAATAAGATTTTTTGTTAATCTAGATCTACATAACTTTTGTTACGTTTACAACAAACTATAATCTGTTAACTAAGTACACAGTTTTAAAAGTCATATTTATTGATATCAGTTTTTAGTTTTTTAATTTTATATTGTAAAAAGTTTAACATAATTCTTTGTAAACGTAACATAATTCTTGGTAAATGTAACATCACTCCAAAAGTTATTTGGACCTAGATTAATAAAAAAATATGTTATTAATTGGTTAAAATTAACAAATATTTTTACTGTGTAAATAAGTAGTTTATTAGCTATTTATGTATCAAGGGCATTACGTAGGCTTTAATGCCCAAAGGCGAAACTAGCCCGAGGGCCTTTGGCCCGAGGGATAGGATTTCGCGTGATGGGCATACAATGCTTTATTTTCTACTTAAAGATTTATGTTTTTATCAAAAATTTAAATAATAAATAAACTTGTCAAATTTCCTACTGTCACTGTACCAAATGTTGACTTATGTCAAACAAAAATTAATCAAAATTTTATTTAAGAAATTCCGCAAAATATTTTACAAAATGCAGCCAAGGCTACACAAAAGTTATTATTTATTATAGTCAGTGATTGAAAACAACAAATTTTCTGCAGCTTTGGCTGCATATTGTATGATGTTTTGTAGATTTAAATTTGCGGGCATTATGATAACGCCCGGCTATAACGCCCTGTGGTTGTTATAGATACGTTTACTTATTTGATTTGCAAGGTGTTATGGATCAATAATAGATAAGTAGAAAATAAAATAATTACATACATTACATATTCGGTAAAATGTTTTTCTTGTTAAAATTTTCACAAATCTGGACTGATATTAACAAATATTATTTATCTTACAGTGCACTGCTTGGCTTATCGCTTGTAAAATATTTTGTATTTTTTTAATAATAAAATAAATGTAATGCAATGAATTTAGTCTTTTAATAAAATATAATTAAAATAAATACTACATTTAACTCAATGAAACAATCTCTTTCTCCGTTTGGCGAAGCGAAGTCGCTCGGAGCCATTGATCGCGGGAGTAACGATTTCACGCATCGCATCACAAAAAAATTCATAACTTCTACAATTTTTGAGTCCCCCCAAAAAGTAACTAGTCAAAATTTGCGCAAGATTCAGGGCTATCACCATAAATTTTTTGAAAAATTTTTGAGATGGCATTTTTTGGATAATTGAATTTGTTTAAAAAAAAATGATTTTTTTAATGAATTTTTAGGTTAAAATTTTTGAAAATTTTTTTTTCTTAAAGAGCGCCCAAAAATATGTACATCTAAATTTATCTCGAAATTTTCAGTCGTTTCAGTTTTTTAATATTCGAAAAATAAGAAACGTGACATTTTTTTTTATTTATTATATAAAATCCACAAAAATGCATAAAAAAAATTAAAATTTTGGATTTCTCCTTTATTTATGTTCCTCTGTCGGCCCTGAAAATTTAAAGTAAATCGGAAACATGAAGTGTGAATCTTGGCCGATTTGGCGTGGATCGCCCCATATATTTAAAAAAAAATCCCAAATTCCCAATGTTTCCGTTTTTTTTCCAAAACCCTAGTATGAATATAAATATTTTAGGACCCAGCTTCACAGAAAGGAAATCTGTAAGTAAAATTAATAAACTCCTGTCGTCAATTTTTTGTACATTAATATTATGTATTGGTGATTATTACAATGCTTTTTCATCATAGATTAATAACTAAGTACATTGAAACCATAAACTAGTCAACATCAAAAATTAATTATTTCCTTCATCAATATAATAATAAAAAGTTATTGAATTAACTATTGACGATCATTAAACGATGTTCTTTATCTTTAAAACAATAAATTTTTCTTCATAGATCCATGAACAGCAAAACATAAATAATAATAAACTGTCTTCATTGTCCCAACGGTCACTAAACATTGATTTTACGAACTTAACCATTAACTTCTTAAAACGCGCCAAAATTAATGCTACCGTACGCACAACGGGACGCACAACGGGATGCACAACGTTGAACGTACGAAGAATAATACGAAAATAGGCATTAAATGCAAATTTATGTCGCGTGATCGCCGCGTGGCAACAAAACAGGTGGATAGCGCTGTTCTTATTGGACAATTCGTACGCGCTGGCTTGGTGAAAACCGGCAACGTTGCGGGCTAAACAAGAACCGTCTGCTTGGTTTTTACATACACGAGGGATGAATAACGTACTATATATATCTTATGGGCTTTACAACGTACCATAAATAAAGAGATCATTAAATTAACTTATATATTTACCCCTCTTGGTATTTCCTAAATTAAATTATGTTAACAAACACTTAGCAAAGATATATACTCGTCTAACCACGTTAGAAATGGTGGGTGGCGGAGCGCCCCAATAGTATCTCGGGCTAAACAACATACCAATTATACGTATATATATATATATCCCAGTAAGCACAAGATAACCGGCCCGCATACGGCCCGAATACGTTTTGCCCACACATGTATTTGTTCCGGCGTTTAGACCGGGCATGTCCGCCTGGCCGAATGTCGGCTATGTTTACTCGGCCGAGTCTCGGCTGTGTATAGTTGGACGAGTACCGGCCACAACCGCCTGGACATTTAAAAAAAGTCTACAGACGTCCTGGATAGGTATATCCTATAGGTTCATTATTCGTTACTGAGCAGATGAGTATGGAGATGGGGACTCCAAACAATTTATGTTTAGCTATGCGATTACAGACGCACACTTCCAACTAAATATTGCAACCTATCGATATTTATAGTTAGCTCCCTTGCGTAAGCAGCCTTGAGATGTATCGCTTATGCCGCGGCAGGCGGTAAGCGGGCCGGCTAGGGCAAGCCGAACGATTTTGCAGCGACATTTCGTATTCTGGGCGACTTCGGTTTCAACATGGCCAAAGGTACCGGGCTAACATAACGCGGCAAAACAATTGGTGCGGCCCTGTGGATACCTGATACTTAGGAAGAGACCTAAATTGTGTTTTTGGCCGGTCTCGGTGGGATAAGCCCTATCTCGTTCTTTCAAAATCATTTGTGACTAAACGGGTAAATATTTTTTCATAAAATTTTGGCCACATGACCATATGCATATATACCATAAAATATATGCACGATTTTAAATTTAGACCAGTGGCGTAGATTTTATAACGGAATTTATCATTATAATATAAATAATATTAAACATTAATGTTGTTTTTGGTTTAAATGTCAATATATGTTATAATTAAGCTTAAACAATAACATATATTATTATAATTATTTATTAAACAATGATTAAATAAAAATAAAATTTATATTTTGTAAATTTTTATATTAATAATTTTAAAACATCTACATCTAAAGTAGAATTATTTTTCTTAGCATTAAATACCCTTTTGGCAGATATGACTGGATCTGATGTTGCCAATAATAAATTAATAAGGTCCTCATTAGTGGCCTTCCTGGAAATTTTTCTTGTGTGACTTTCCCTTATCGACTTGTAGTCTTTATTTCGAGCTTCCTGTGCCTCCTCTGATAATTGTCCGATCGGTACATAAAAATGTTCTATAAATTTTCGTCCATGTATTAATATTTTATGCACTGACGATGGCATATAGAACCAATTATAGAGGGATACAAAAAGCTCGGCTGTTTCCATTGCATATGCCTCAAACATGTCCCCATTGATTTCTCTGCCCGAAGCCAAAGCTTTTAGAATTGTCGCAAATCTCCTTATCAGCTCCACATCCACCTTGGTGATGGAAGCAGTCAGTTCCGGATCTTCGAAAAATCTTCTGGCGTTATTACCATCGTTGGTATTCCCAGACCCCTGTTTGGGCATGTCTATTAGAAGACCTGTCTGTGTCCTAAATTCTTCCTGGATTCGTTGTTTTTCCTTGTTTTTTATAAGTTTGTGTTCCTCCGTTCTGGCTGACCAACATTTAATTTGGATTTTATAAGCCACATGGAGGATACATTCCATGAAACGTATCCATGCATGCAGACTAGAAAGTCCATATTGCAGTGCCTCCTGAGAAATGGTCCTTTGTGAGATTTTTGTCAAAATGTTCATGTCCTTTGGACTCGCCTTACAAATTGGACAACATGCCGATAATGATGTATTTGTCATCACCTGTACAACCTTTCCATCCACCATGGTTGATAAAAGATTATATTTTATCCTAAATATTTTATCGTCCTTGTGTGCTGTGAATTCTTGTAAGTTCAATATTTGGCCGTTGATGTCCTCCACGTATTTCTTTGATACTTCCGGGGTTTCCTTGACATATTCAAAAGAAATCGGTCTGCAAAATTTGGTGGATGATGGCTGTTTATTGGTCCAAAATATTGATCCTTGGTCGTCTTTTATTTGAATGGGCACGAAAGGGCACATAAACATGTGACTATCACTCTGTGATGGTGATAAAAAGGCTTGCTTATATTGAGCTTGCCCGGAAGACCCATCACAGCCCCACTTTCCTATTAGCTCCAAATTTTCCGAAAATTTGGATACGTCTTCTTCATTTATGGCCTTCACTATTCTTGTTGCGGTATGATCCAACAATGATTGCAGTTTTACAGTCGCACCAGTTTCACTAATTTGGTTGTCATTTGGATATCACTGGAGTTTAGTCTCTCGAATGTGTTCATAAGATGGAAATAACTTCGAGTTATGCGCCAAAGCTGCTTTTCGCAACTTTAGGTACTGAGCTTTGGATAACTTTAAATCCAAAAATAAAGCCAAAGCTTCTTCATTGGAAAACGGAATCTCCCTTGCTGCCCCTGAGGTGTCCATATTCTCCTTTGAATGTTCGTAGACGTAGTTGACTGCATCCAATCCTATGGTTTCACGAATTTCCAATGCTTTCCTTCTTTTCGTACTTTAACTGGAAGTCGAAAATTTCTGGCTTCTGGGTCTCCCTGATCGCTTGGGTGTGCTAAACGATGCTTCGGGTGTGATGGGTTCCTCAAAATCCAAAGAATTGTTTACCCATTCCTTAAATTTTTCTTAAAACTTAGTTTTACAACGGCTAACCTTTTCAAGTCGGTCCTTAACGTTTCTAAAAAAACGAATTAACTTTTCCACTTGCTTATCAGTCATTTTGTTGCCCATGAAATAATTGTTCGCAACAAATTCACACAAAGAATTGAATTCATTGTGATCGAAAATGTTTTTAATTAATTCACTATATGCAATAACAACCATCTTGCTACACTTGCCACTTGATATAAATAATATTTCTAATTTGAAGTTTATATAGTAGTGACAGGTACACCTGTGACAGGTGCCACCTAGGTGGCAGGTAATATATAAGGTAGTAAAGTCCGGACACGATTGTCAATGTGACTTGGTATTATTTTGTCGTTTATGGTTGGTTCGTAAACATCAAATTTGTCACTTTGAGACAAACAAATATCAGTGACGTACGAATTATGTCATTATGTCATTGATCTTTCAAATAATTATTATCGTTAATAGCATTTAATCAACAGTGTTATTAAATTTTTTTTTTAAATATTGTACTTATAAGGTTCCAGAATAAATATGAAGTTTAATTACTCCTTATTATAAGTATTTTCCTAAAAATTATAATAACCATAATGTTGTTTAAAATACGCCTATGATAAAATTTGTCAAAAATTTAACCTGTAAAATTAAAACTACCTATCAAAAAAATAAATTGTTACCAAATTAAAAAACGCAGAGGGAAATATATGTCTAAACCGTGACATTGACAGTCGTGTCCCAACCCTGTTTTATTAAGGGTCTCTAGTAAATACTACTTATCATTCTAATTAATTCATATTAAACCAGGTAAAATATAAATTAACTCTTTCTATCTGAATTAGGGCCGGTATATTTAAGTAAATTTAATATACCGGCCCTTAAACAAAGGTAAAATAAAAGTTAACTTTTTAATGTATTTATTTACTAATTTAACAATAGGGTTATTTACAATATTTTAAAATAAAACAACACATTCCGAACTCATTTCGGCGAATGCATGAATGGCATAGACGCGTTTGACGGTCGCAGCCGCAACGTACATGTGTACTAAGTGAAATATCTTGAAAAGTTATGAAAATGGGCAAAAAGTGGCAACAGTATAACTTGGCAACATATTTATACACCTTTTCATATAAAAAAGAAATTAATCGGCCCTGGCGAAAAATGGCGGATTTGACTTTTGTCCCGTGAAATTGGAAAAAATTACCAAATTTTTGCATTTTATTCTAATAAAAATTCTGTGATTATTAAACATTTATATGCTACCAAATTTGTACCCAATATAAAACATACTTTTCTCTTAAAAACAGCATTTGAATTAATATTGTACCTTTATTACTTTTTGAGATATATTGCTTCAAACACCAACATTATTTTTACTAAAACATTAAAAAAAAATGTTAAACTTTGACGGCCTGTATCTTCTAAAGTAAATTTTATTTTGATTTGTAATTCGGGAATCTGAAAGATCAATGTTTTTTCTATACATTCCATTTTTTAAAAATATGATTTTTCGATACTCCAAATTACGACTTTTGGTGAAGGTCATCCCACCTTGCGATGTGGGAATCGACTTGGGATAGTTAAATCTTAAAACCACGCAAAATAATTAACATAAAACTTTTTATAAAAAAAAATCGATATTTATTATTTGACAAAACTTTGTGGTTATGTTTTTTAAATATATAAACAAATAAAGTAGGCCATGATGTACAGTATAAAAATGTGATTTGAAATATTTTTTAATTGGTTTATATTTGATATTTGGTTTTATTTTTTATATTTAGATATAAACTAATTACTAAACCACTGTAAACCCTGACCGGCCCACTTTAACGCTCTACATATATACAAAACGTGTCACTCAATTTAATAAATTTATAAGTTGTATATATACAACGTTCCAAGTTGGGTTAAAATCGCTGATGTCGAAGAGGATAGGTGGCATGTTTGCGCGTTTTGCCTCTTATGATAAAATGGTTAAATGGTCGATTTATAACAAATACTAATTAATATTTAACAAAAAAATTTTATTCTTTAAAAATGTCACTCAAAGTTCATTTACTTGGTTTAATATTGGACTCTTGATATAATCGGTAAAATAAAAACATTTAAATTAAAATAATTACAATAATCCTTTTAAACGTTAAAATGAAAATAATCTATTTAAACAGCAAAGATATTTGGTTCTTGAACGTATCAAGAAAGTAAAGAATCGTATTATGGGCGCCGGAAGGAATTCGTCTAGGGGGGGCCTTAAAGTTTTTTACAATTTTGATAGATGTTATTTATAATCAAGTTGTACTGTAAAAGTTCACATTAAACTTAAGTCAAATAAAATATCATCTTTATATGTATATTTACCTATTTATTTATATTGGTACATATTGCAAAAAATACATCACCAGTTTTTGGTAAATATATAAATAACTCTTGGATTCCAAATCAAAATTGATATGAACCTTATTGCACGTATATAAGATTCCATCGAAAATCTTTGGAATATAAACATAATGATCTGTGGCTTCTGGTTTCTTCGCCATAGGATTATGAACGGAATCAGTAAACTGTGCTTCTGATTTCTTTGAATAGCTAGCCATTTCATTGATTTTACAACTGTAACAACATTAGTGTTTATTAAGACGGCACAAATCTAAGTTAAATTATCTAAGATAACAAATCTAATTTATCTAAAAAATATTGAACAAATGAAAACGATCAGCACTTACCGTCAAATTATGGAGTACCGGAAATTCTGGGTATGAATTTCCAGGGAGGGGGCGGATCCCCCCCTGACCCTATGTAGCGGCGCCCATGAATCGTATTGCTTATGGTAATGGTTAATTCACATTTTGAAACTGGCGGTATAAGCGCCACGCCCCGAATAATGCCGCCGCGTTTTGATTGGCTTGGCATATTAGGAAATTAGTATATGCTCATATCAAGGAGGTTGTAAAGAGAAAGGTAATCCGTCATCCTTGAGCCACTGCCATTTTGAATAAATTACAATATTGAATTGTATTGTCACCAGCAACGAAAATGTGTTCAAAATTTTAGCTCAATCGGTTGGGTGGAAGTACGCTTAAATTGACTTCGTAGATTTGTGGACAAAGTAAGTTTGTTATTAGTAAAGCTAATAAGTTCATTCTAACCAGCAACAATATTACTGACAGACATGCACATTTGTATTTTTATATTTGAAACGCGCTTTGAAAGTAGAATAAAGGAAACAAATATATATTTTTTAATCTGTCTATAATTTAAACACTTTTGTTTTTAACACTCGGTACTAAGGTGATTGATTATAATAATTATTGATCAGTCAAGAATCTTGACCTGTTGACATAAATAACTATTAAAACAATAATTTAACTTTTAAACCTAAGATAATATTATGTTTTAATATTGCTTATGTATCAGTAATTACTATTAATTAATACCTATTACTGTCGTTAGAATGAACGTTTTTTAATTCCTGTAAAAGAGCGACCAGAAATTGGAAAACAAAAATATTAAGGTAAACAAAAATATATGCCAAGGAAAAAAATGTTTGGTCAACATCTTGGGCATTAAAATTAACAAAATAATAATTATTTTTAATATTTTTTTATATATGTTTTGTTAGTAAATTTAATTTTCCACAGAAAAAATCCAATTATCGCATAAATATTTGAATTTCAGAGAAAATCACAAATTAATTTAAAAGTTGATTTTTTACAAAGCAAATAATGCCGCCATTATCAAGGAGGTTGTAAAGAAAAAGGTAATCCGTCCTCCTTGAGCCACGGCCATTTTGAATAAACTATAATATGTATACCATGTATGTGTGTTCAAACTTTCAGCTTAATCGTTTAGGTGGAAGTAAGTTAAAATTGACTTCGTAGATTTGTGAACAAAGTAAGTTTGTTATAAGTAAAGCTAATAATATTAGCTAATATATTTTATTAGCTTTACTTATAACAAACTTACCGCGGCATTCCGGTTAGATCGAACCTATAGGTTTGTTCCAACCGGCATGCTGCAGCAGCAATATTACTGACACATGCGCATTTGTATTTTTATACTTGAAACGCGCTTTGAAAATAGAATAAAAGAAGCAAATATTTAACTAAGGTGATTTATTATAGCCTAGGCACTTAAAAATGGTTTAGACCAATCGGGTTAGGTTTTTTACAGCCTCAACAAATTCGACTTCTGTCAGATCTACTCAACTTTACTTTCTATTTTTAATAATAATTATAATAATTGTACAAATAAAATTCTGCCTTGAGATAACGTGTTGTTTGCAATTCGGCAATGCAGTGTCTTTTTGTGCTTCGTTCAAGTTTTAGTTCAAACTTTAAGCTCAGCACAAAAAAACTTACTTCTTAAGTCAAGAGATAACTATTTGTTGAAGGAGCAAAATAATAACTTTATAAACTTGACAACGCTGCTTTTGCAATATGTAGTGACTTTTGACCTAGTTAGTTGGTACAATTTAACTAATGACAGAAACTAAGAACAATATGGTAGCCACGTAATTTTTGCTCTCGCGATTAAATAATATAAAGTGTAATCTGTTAACTCTGTTGTGTTCCTTATTAATGTTTTTGTAACGTTCTACTAATAAATCTCGATTACGGAATTTGTTAAAGTCTGCGTTTCAGTAAAACCAAAATTCCCGTAATAGGTTATGGACCCAGACACGTGAACTGTGAAAAGTTTTTTAATGTAATCCGGGATTGCTAGACTAGTTCGTTACTCTCGTGTGATCGTGTGTTCGGTTCTCGCGGTTTTTGTGCTCAATT